CCATAAATATTGGGACATGGACACAATTCTAACATTTTTGGCTCTATACACCACAATGGATTTGAAATGAAACGAACAAGATGTGCTTTAACTGCAGACTGTCAGCTTTAATTTGAGGGTATTTACATCCAAATCAGGTGAACGGTGTAGGAATGACAACAGTTTGCATATGTGCCTCCCACTTGTTAAGGGACCAAAAGTAATGGGACAATTGGCTTCTCAGCTGTTCTATGGCCAGGTGTGTGTTATTCCCTCATTATCCCAATTACAATGAGCAGATAAAAGGTCCAGAGTTCATGTCAAGTGTGCTATTTGCATTTGGAATCTGTTGCTGTCAACTCTCAAGATGAGATCCAAAGAGCTGTCACTATCAGTGAAGCCATCATTAGGCTGAAAAAAAAAAAAACAAACCCATCAGAGAGATAGCAAAAACATTAGGCGTGGCCAAAACAACTGTTTGGAACATTCTTAATAAGAAGGAACGCACCGGTGAGCTCAGCAACACCAAAAGACCCGGAAGACCACAGAAAACAACTGTGGTGGACGAGCGAAGAAATTCTTTCCCTGGTGAAGAAAACACCCTTCACAACAGTTGGCCAGATCAAGAACACCCTCCAGGAGGTAGGTGTATGTGTGTCAAAGTCAACAATCAAGAGAAGACTTCACCAGAGTGAATACAGAGGGTTCACCACAAGATGGAAACCATTGGTGAGCCTCAAACACAGGAAGGCCAGATTAGAGTTTGCCAAACGACATGTAAAAAAGCCTTCACAGTTCTGGAACAACATCCTATGGACAGATGAGACCGACATCAACTTGTACCAGAGTGATGGGAAGAGAAGAGGATGGAGAAGGAACTGCTCATGGTCCTCAGCATACCACCTCATCAGTGATCATGGTGGTGGTAGTGTCATGGCGTGGGCATGTATGGCTGCCAATGGAACTGCTTCTCTTGTATTTATTGATGATGTGACGGCTGACAGAAGCAGCCGGATGAATTGTGAAGTGTTTCGGGAATATTATCGGCTCATATTCAGCCAAATGCTTCACAACTCATTGGACGCTTCACAGTGCAGATGGACAATGACCCAAAGCAGACTGCAAAAGACACCAAAGAAGTGGAATGTTCTGCAATGGCCAATCACCTGACCTGAATCCGATTGAGCATTTCACTTGCTGAAGACAAAACTGAAGGGAAAAATGCCCCAAGAACAAGCAGGAACTGAAGACAGTTGCAGTAAAGGCCTGGCAGAGCATCACCAGGGATGACACCCAGCGTCTGGTGATGTCTATGCCTTCCACACTTCAGGCTGTCATTGACTGCAAAGGATTTGCAACCAAGTATTAAAAAGTGAAAGTTTGATTTATGATTATTATTCTGTCCCATTACTTTTGGTCCCTTAACAAGTGGGAGGCACATATGCAAACTGTTGTCATTCCTACACCGTTCACCTGATTTGGATGTAAATACCCTCAAATTAAAGCTGACAGTCTGCAGGTAAAGCACATCTTGTTCCTTTCATTTCAAATCTATTGTGGTGTATAGAGCCAAAAATGTTAGAATTGTGTCCATGTCCCAATATTTATGGACCTGACTGTATTTACCAAAAAAAAAAAGAATTTTGGATCAAACTGCCAAAGCATGTCAGCCTCTTTCAGAAACCCAAAAGTATCTCTTCTTTTTTTCTTTCTTGATGCCGAATCATACGGGGGGGGGGGGGGGGGGGTAACTTTACATGGGGAGGGGTATAGACCAGGACCCTGATTTCATATGATGCAAATTGCTGCCAGGAAAGTGAGACTCTGTATGGGTGGGTGAGGGGCGCTGACTTCACATGGTGGAAATTACAGACCATAGAAGGGAGACTTTGGGGGAACCAGAACAGTGACTCCAAACGAATGCTTCATGTAAGGGAAGTGGGTCTCTATGTGATGGTGGGGGGTGGGCTTGGATTTCATATGATGGAAGTTGCAGCCACAAAAGGGAGACTTGGTATGGGGTGGGGGGACAGGGGAACAGACCAGAACACGGAATTCACATAGTGGGGGGGAATAGGGGAACAGACCAGAACACGGACTTCACATGGTGGGGGGACGAGGGAATAGACCAGAACACGGACCTCACATAGTGGGGGGGAGGGGGAACAGACCAGAACACGGACTTCACATAGTGGGGGGAGTGGGGGGACAGGGGAACAGACCAGAACATGGACTTCACATAGTGGGGGGGAGGGGGAACAGACCAGAACACGGACTTCACATAGTGGGGGGAGTGGGGGGGACAGGGGAACAGACCAGAACACGGACTTCACATAGTGGGGGGGGGGGAACAGACCAGAACACGGACTTCATATGGTGGGGGGGGGGGCAGGGGAACAGACCAGAACACGGACTTCACATAGTAGGGTGGGGGGGGGGGACAGGGGAACAGACCAGAACACGGACTTCACATAGTGGGGGGGGGGGGGAACAGACCAGAACACGGACTTCACATAGTGGGGTGGGGGGGGGGGGGCAGGGGAACAGACCAGAACACGGACTTCAGATAGTGGGGGGGGGGACAGGGGAACAGACCAGAACACGGACTTCACATAGTGGGGGGGGGGGGGACAGGGGAACAGACCAGAACATGGACTTCACATAGTGGGGGGGGGGGGGACAGGGGAACAGACCAGAACACAGACTTCACATGGTGGGGGGGGGGGGGGGGGAATAGACCAGAACACGGACTTCACATGTGCAATGTGCTGTTTGCTCGCAGACATAAATACTGGTTTGGTCTCCATCATCCTCTAGTAGCCAATCAGATGCCTCCTCTTGTCTCCTGTCTGACTCTGGGGAAGGTACAAATCCCATTAGTGGCTGTGGGGCAGCGCAGACAGTTTCTATTTCAGGTTGTGCTGTGTGGGGATCCTGATGCGCGGTGTGACAGACGTGTCGCTCGCTCGCCGTGTCGGGATTGGCGCTCACTAATCTGTTTATCCGGATCACATAATCCTCTCCCAGCTGATGAACAGCCGTGTGGTCTGCAGGGGCCCGGCGCTCCCATCCTCCATCAGAGGAACATTTGGGGGGTTCTCTTGACACACAAAGAGAAGCTGCTGTCCCCGTGTGCCCCCCCCCAGGGGCTATAGCAGTGTGAGCCAGAGGGGGGGGCGCCGAGTTTGTAGTGAAATAGATGGCTGGGGGTCCGATCCGCAGTACTTATGGGGAGTCCAGCCACCTGCAGGGTCCTTCCTGCTGCCTCCTCTGCATTCCTATTGGCCGATCCCCAGGATGGACATCTTCGCTGCCCAATAGAGGGGGTGGGGGGGGGGGTGTTGGGGACGACTGATAGGGACCTGGATGAAAGGGAGATTTTTTTTTTTTGTCAACCCCCATTTGTATAATATGATGACACGGCTCGGCTCAGGATTGAGCCTGCACATGTGCCACAATATGAAACGACTTCCTATGGTGGTGCACGGAGAAGAGGAGGAGCCAGGAGCACTGCTGGGGGCCCCAGAAGATTAGAAAAATAAATAACTTAGAGTAACTCCTTTTTGAGAATAAACCCCGCCCCCCCCCCCCCCCCCCCCATCCCGGGTGATCTATGCACAGCGCAGGGATGGGAACCCTTTGCTGCAGATTCCCACCTTTTGTTCTTCTGCAGAAATCTCTGTTTGTGTCTCTGTGTCCTGTGCAGAGCGACTGAATGGGAGCGACTTTATCACCATCGATCAGCTGCTGCACCTGCGGGGGGGCTCTACTGAGGACAGGGGCAGGGTCTGCATCTCTTTAAACTGGATCTCTTATTGGGAGTATCTCACCAAAAATGACATTTATGTTGCAGGGGATGCCAAAAATCTCACTTGTATCTTAGTGCAGACTTCTGGAAAAATCAGTGAGCCAATCACAGAGCAGGAAATGACATCTCTGGGGGCGGTCCTTATACCATCTGTGTACAGAGTGCCTCCAGGGGCCATATTGCATTTTCCAGGAGATGACAGCGGCTGCGCATTGGGAAGGAGAAGTATTTTGTAATGACATCCAATCACAATGTGACTTTTGTGTTGCAGTTTTATAAACGATGAACATATTTTTATTTTCCCCGCAAACGTGGAGTTACTCTAAAAAAAGAAAAATCCCATATTTGATCTGGGCTCAGAGGTGAGGATGCTGCCGCTCAGACTGAGTGATGGAGAAGTACTGGATTGGGGGGAGGGGTGTGTGTGGAGCGGGGGGCGGGCGGCAGGCAGTTCCTTCGTGTCTATTGGGTGGAGTCCCCTGGGGTCTGTATTGGGTGGAGTCCCCTGGGGTCTGTATTGGGTGGAGTCCCCTGGGGGTCTGCATTGGGTGGAGTCCCCTGGGGTCTGTAATGGGTGGAGTCCCCTGGGGTCTGTAATGGGTGGAGTCCCCTGGGGTCTGTATTGGGTGGAGTCCCCTGGGGTCTGTATTGGGTGGAGTCCCCTGGGGTCTGTATTGGGTGGTGTCCCCTGGGGGTCTGTATTGGGTGGAGTCCCCTGGGGGTCTGTATTGGGTGGAGTCCCCTGGGGGTCTGTATTGGGTGGGAGTCCCCTGGGGGTCTGTATTGGGTGGAGTCCCCTGGGGTCTGTATTGGGTGGAGTCCCCTGGGGTCTGTATTGGGTGGAGTCCCCTGGGGGTCTGTATTGGGTGGAGTCCCCTGGGGGTCTGTATTGGGTGAGAGGGAAGGGAGGAGCAGGGTAGCTCCTTGCCATCCCAGTCTATGGGGCTGTGTGTTTCTATTGATGCACACAGTGTAGGAGACACAACTCTAGTCCCTTCATACAAGAGGAAGGAGCCCCCCCCGAGACAGACCTGGGGCCGAGGTCACCTATGGAGGAGCATAGACCAGGATCAATGATGAAGAAGCTGCATCCTCAGTCGGGATTCTGTCCGCGGCTGAAAGTGTACAAATGAATGAATATCCCTTTAAGCCCCGCCCCCCCATGTGTTCTCTGATCTGGGAGATCCTGACCGTTCTGCTTCTCTCCTTTCAGTACATCGAAGCGATCAGCAACAAGCAGAGCGAACTGGAGAACTTCGTGTCGGACGGATACAAGACGGCGCTGACCGAGGAGAGGAGGCGGTACTGCTTCCTGGTGGAGAAACAATGCGCCGTCGCCAAAAACTCCATGACCTATCACAGCAAGGTGAGCCATGGCTCCTCCCACTGCAGAGGATTCTGGGAGGAAGAAATCAATGCTATTAATGTGTTGATATGTTTTCATTAATCTTTTTTATTCCATATAATTTTGAACCTTTCGCATCACTCGGAGCTGAGATAGGAAAAGCCTGGAATTCCTGCAACTACAAAATACAAAATATAATAATAATTAAGAAAATATATATATATAAAAAAAAATTTTATTATTTTTTTGCTTTTTGTTTGTTTTTTTAGTAGCAGGAATTCCAGGCTTTTCCCATCTCAGCTCCGAGTGATACGAAAGGTTCAAAAATGGTAAATAAAAAAGACAAACCTGCTGTACTTACCTGTAATGGTTCTGCACAGAGCAGCCCCAATCCTCTTGGGTCCCCCACCGGCACTTGTGGCCCCTCCCCCTCGATTTGGGGCTACTTATGCGTTCTCACTCCTGAGCCGGCTCTGCGTGGCCATAAAGCGTCCATAAAGCACACAGAGCGTGGCTCAGCCCCACCTCCCCCCCCCCCCCCCCCCCCCACTCCCTCTTTGTTGGCTGTGATGGGCAGGGCTCTCTCTGCTGTGTCTCAGCCAATGAGGAAGGGGGAGACCCCGGAAAGCCGCTGCTCTCATGCACATCGCTGGATGGAGAGGGGGCTCAGGTAAGTATTGGGGGGCTGCACACTGAAGGTTTATCTTCACACACAGAATGCATGAAGATAAAAAAATCTTCAGCCTTTAGGACCACTTTACCCTCCCCCACCCCCACTCTAAGCCGCATACTAACCACCCTGGACAGGAACGCTGCCTGCCTCTACTTACCTGCGCTCTGGGTGCTCCGGTCTGGTCATGTGACCGCCTCCCAGTGTAGAGGAAGGACAGCCAATAGCTGAAGCTGTATGGATGACATCATCTCCCAGGCATTGCAGCCGCTGTCTGTGATCTCTCCTCTCCCCTGAAGCCGCTGGGGAGGTCACATGACCGGAACGCAGAGCCCGCAGAATAGGTAAGCATCTTCCTTCTATAGGGGCATTAGAGGGGGATGGGAGACGATGTGCATGGAGTCCGGGAATCGCATGGAATTCCACATTAATACCAATTTATGGATTTCTTTGCCCCTGGAAGGGGTGTGACTCCTCTGGAAATGTCGCAGAATTCCGATCGGTAATATTGGACCTGATAGGAGATCTGCGGGGGATGGGGAAACTCGCTCAGGAAAATTGGGTGTAAAACAAAGTTGCAGCAAAAGCTGCGTTGTGTCCCAGTGATGGGGAGTCCCTCCTGCTCCCACCTTCTGGGCGCCGTCGCATTATTGCGAGATATTCGCTCCTACGGCGGCTTATGCACGTTTGTCACCCAGAATGCAGCTCCGGCTCCTTTTCGGGCGACAAGCTGAATGCAGTTGGTGGTTTTCCAGGATTGCCGCACCCGTCCCGGCAGGATCGCATCGGGTTGCCATTGAAGGACAATGCGCGTCGCATGTTGTGCTGCGATTACCACGTGATTTGGGATCCCGAATCTCCCAAACGCCAGCTTCACACCTAAGTGGCTCCACAAGCTGCGTTTGCGTTGACGTGGCAGCCTGTCCGTGTTTGTGGGCCTCCGTGACTGCGGGTCAGGCCAGGTTCACACTTGTGCTGGTGAGTGCGTAAATTGCACCTGTTCCCGCATTCGCATCCACCTGCAGCCAAACCGCGCCGCTCTTCTGCAGAAGGCGGGTCTGCCGTTCAATAATGGCACCCCACACATCTGAAGATGCTGCGGGAGATGGCGCGGGGCGGGAGATGGCGCGGGGCGGAAGATGGTGCAGGGGGGAGATGGGGGGGAGATGGCGCAGGGCGGGAGATGGCGCAGGGCGGGAGATGGCGCGGGGCGGGAGATGGTGCAGGGGGGAGATGGGGCGGGAGATGGCGCAGGGCGGGAGATGGCGCGGGGCGGGAGATGGCGCGGGGCGGGAGATGGGGCGGGAGATGGCGCAGGGCGGGAGATGGCGCGGGGCGGGAGATGGTGCAGGGGGGAGATGGGGTGGGAGATGGCGCAGGGCGGGAGATGGCGCGGGGCGGGAGATGGTGCAGGGGGGAGATGGGGCGGGAGATGGCGCGGGGCGGGAGATGGTGCAGGGGGGGAGATGGGGCGGGAGATGGCGCAGGGCGGGAGATGGCGCGGGGCGGGAGATGGTGCAGGGGGGAGATGAGGTGGGAGATGGCGCAGGGCGGGAGATGGTGCGGGAGATGGCTCGGGGCGGGAGATGGAGATGGGGGGAGATGGGGCGGGAGATGGCGCGGGGCGGGAAATGGTGCGGGAGATGGCGCGGGGCGGGAGATGGCGCGGGGCGGGAGATGGCGCAGGGCAGGAGATGGGGCGGGAGATGGCGCGCGCGGGGGGGAGATGGCGCGGGGCGGGAGATGGTGCGGGAGATGGCGCAGGGCGGGAGATGGCGAGGGGCGGGAGATGGCGCGGGAGATGGCGTGGGGCGGGAGATGGTGCGGGAGATGGCGCGGTGCGGGAGATGGCGCGGTGCGGGAGATGGTGCGGGGCGGGAGATGGTGCGGGAGATGGCGCGGTGCGGGAGATGGCGCGGTGCGGGAGATGGCGCGGGGCGGAAGATGGTGCAGGGGGGAGATGGGGTGGGAGATGGCGCAGGGCGGGAGATGGCGCGGGGCGGGAGATGGTGCAGGGGGGAGATGGGGCGGGAGATGGCGCAGGGCGGGAGATGGCGCGGGGCGGGAGATGGTGCAGGGGGGAGATGGGGCGGGAGATGGCGCAGGGCGGGAGATGGCGCGGGGCGGGAGATGGTGCAGGGGGGAGATGGGGTGGGAGATGGCGCAGGGCGGGAGATGGCGCGGGGCAGGAGATGGTGCAGGGGGGAGATGGGGCGGGAGATGGCGCAGGGCGGGAGATGGCGCGGGGCGGGAGATGGTGCAGGGGGGAGATGGGGCGGGAGATGGCGCGGGGCGGGAGATGGTGCAGGGGGGAGATGAGGTGGGAGATGGCGCAGGGCGGGAGATGGTGCGGGAGATGGCTCGGGGCGGGAGATGGTGCGGGAGATGGGGCGGGAGATGGCGCGGGGCGGGAAATGGTGCGGGAGATGGCGCAGGGCGGGAGATGGCGCGGGGCGGGAGATGGCGCGGGGCGGGAGATGGCGCAGGGCAGGAGATGGGGCGGGAGATGGCGCGGGGCGGGAGATGGCGCGGGGCGGGAGATGGTGCGGGAGATGGCGCAGGGCGGGAGATGGCGAGGGGCGGGAGATGGCGCGGGAGATGGTGCGGGAGATGGCGCGGGGCGGGAGATGGTGCGGGAGATGGCGCGGTGCGGGAGATGGCGCGGGGCGGGAGATGGCGCGGTGCGGGAGATGGCGCGGGGCGGGAGATGGCGCGGGAGATGGCGCGGGGCGGGAGATGGCGCGGGGGCGGGAGATGGGGCGGGAGATGGCGCGGGGCGGGAGATGGCGCGGGGCGGGAGATGGGGCGGGAGATGGTGCGGGAGATGGCGCAGGGCAGGAGATGGGGCGGGAGATGGCGCGGGGCGGGAGATGGCGCGGGGCGGGAGATGGTGCGGGAGATGGTGCAGGGCGGGAGATGGCGTGGGAGATGGCGCGGGGCGGGAGATGGTGCGGGAGATGGCGCGGGGCGGGAGATGGCGCGGGGCGGGAGATGGCGCGGGGCGGGAGATGGCGCGGTGCGGGAGATGGCGCGGGGCGGGAGATGGTGTGGGAGATGGCGCGGTGCGGGAGATGGCGCGGGAGATGGCGCGGGGCGGGAGATGGCGCGGGGCGGGAGATGGCGCGGGGCAGGAGATGGGGCGGGAGATGGCGCGGGGCGGGAGATGGCGCGGGGCGGGAGATGGTGCGGGAGATGGCGCAGGGCGGGAGATGGCGCGGGGCGGGAGATGGCGCGGGGCGGGAGATGGCGCGGGGCGGGAGATGGCGCGGGGCGGGAGATGGTGCGGGAGATGGGGCAGGAGATGGCGCGGAAGATGGCGCGGGGCGGGAGATGGCGCGGGGCGGGAGATGGGGCAGGAGATGGCGCGGGGCGGGAGATGGGGCAGGAGATGGCGCGGGGGCGGGAGATGGCGCGGGGCGGGAGATGGCGCGGGGCGAGAGATGGCGCGGGGCGGGAGATGGCGCGGGGCGGGAGATGGCGCGGGGCGGGAGATGGTGCGGGAGATGGCGTGGGGCGGGAGATGGCGCGGGGCGGGAGATGGCGCGGGGTGGGAGATGGTGTGGGAGATGGCGCGGGGCGGTAGATGGCGCGGGGTAGGAGATGGCGCGGGGTAGGAGATGGCGCGGGGCGGGAGATGGTGTGGGGCGGGAGATGGCGCGGGGCGGGAGATGGCGCGGGAGATGGCGCGGGGCGGGAGATGGCGCGGGGTAGGAGATGGTGTGGGAGATGGCGCGGGGCGGGAGATGGCGCGGGGCGGGAGATGGCGCGGGAGATGGCGCGGGGCGGGAGATGGCATGCTGCTGAAGCGCCGTACAATTTCCCTGCCGGCTGCATTTTGAAGCAACATGCTGCAACCTTTCCCCTGCATGAATCGCAGGCACAGCAGCCCACAGAAATGAACAGGCTGCCACGCACACGCGGCCTTTAGAGTCAGTCAGGTGTGAACGTGGCCTTATGTAAGGAATGCATCTTTATCATAATGCAGCCGCAGGGAAGTCGCACACCTTTGCACCGTGTGCTTTCAGATGCGTGGGTGTCATTGGCAATAGAAGGCAGACCCGTGTGTCTGCAGAAGCGCAGCAGTTTGGGTGCGATTTACACGCTGAGCTGCACCCACCTGCACACGTGTGAACCTAGCCTAGTACTCCAATGTGCTTTTTCTGGGCGTCCAAAACACGCAATCTCTTCAATGATCTGTCCTATAAATGGCGGCATGCATGACACGTCACCTATGGGGGGGTTTCCGTTTTTGCCCAGGAATCTGCATTGCCTAGAACTGCCTGTTTCTCACACGGGAATGAATGCTGCAATCTGGTGTCCAGCATGCAGGGTGACCACACACGTAGGTTGT